TGCGCTGCTACTTTGTCCCAGGGTTAATCAGTCTCTTTACGCCTTTTTAGATGGAGCTTATTGACAAATTTACACACCCCAAAACTCAGCAGGAGAGCCAGTGTTACCGAATAACCTACAGATCGATGGATAAAACCTTCACAGATGCAGAAATTAATAGCATCCAAGACTCTGTCAGAGAGGAAGTACAGAAAAAACTAAGCGTTCAGCTGAGATAGATCAGCAAATCAACTGACCACTCGATCATACATTGTCGAATACAGGCGTCTAGGATCACGTCTTACTGGCTTTAGCTGTAAACTCTAAGCAGGATTAAAATCCAAGTTAACAGGGTAAGCGTATTGCACTATATAAACTTAACGAACTCAATGCGGTCAAATTTCCAGAGTTAGTGCTTGTTAGTGTAGAGGTTCGTGGGTTGACGTAAACCTTTGAAGATATTTGAAGATAAGGAAGAGAGATACCAACTTTTGCTGAAGGTCAATTCTTGATGCTGAAGGTCATTGTCCTTGATGCTCTACAAACTCTGGCACACAGGACTTCTCTCTCGCCTGGCCACCCGTTTTGGGGGCGACGCGGGGCGAAGAGACGGCTGATACTTGAGATTGACAGGACACTCTACTTCGTAGCTTAGAGCTTAGAGCCCCCTAACGGGGCCAGCTCCCATCGGGGGCCTGCTAACTCCGATTTTCCTTTTTTCCCACCATCACAACAGAAAATTACACCGTGTTACGAAAAAGCGGCAACAGACATCTTTTATAGCAATTGTCCAAAAAGGTGTCGAAAGTTGGTGAAGACGTCAAATCTTTCACAGGCGATACGTCCGCTGAGCTTAAGTAACAAAGAACGTAAATTTTGGAGTTTTTCGAGCAGCTTCCTTAAATTCATTCTCATTTGTTGAATTTTTATTGATTGACAAGTGCTCGGTTATATTGAAAGTTGCCTTGACAAGAGAAATTTAAGAAACGTACTTATTTCATCTTGCAGAAATTGCTTAAGCTAGAATTAAGCATAAACTGTTTTCTAATGGCCCACTGTTCTTCAAGTAATTTTCTTGGTAAATAAGAGGATTATCTGGTTGTAACAAAGTTATCAGGGGAAAATAAAATAGGTCCTTGAGTTAAAGGGAGAAAAATTACTTAATTATGATAACTAATATTCGTAAAGAGCACAACTCAAAAGCGAATTACGACAGTGGAATGTCAGTCAAGTAGAGTGGTGAGGTTAGTGGTTTGATGGTATTGAAGTAACCTATTGGTTACATCGGCTTTGATACATGCTTTTTAATTTGACGTCAACTATTTGTGAAAAAAGTATATGTCGATGATATTATGTGTCACGAAAAGGCTTTGCACAAATTGCAGACCTATTCCTTGATGGCGCGCAAACCAGGAAAGAGTGATTGAAAGTACGTTTAAGAACATGGAGTGGGGAGGATATTGCTACGAACATAAAGCTTGGTCACTGCAATTCAAACTCGAACTAACTGACGGGAAAATTAAGTAACCTGTCCCTACCGTCTTTAAATTTCCAGGAAAGGATTTCTGTAAATCTTTTAACGTATACTGCTTGGATAAATCCTACTTCTTTGCGTGTTTTGTCTCCATTGATTACGGCCTTCTTAATTAAAATTTTATTTCCCCTTAACATATTACTTCCGACAAAAATCCTCACTTGTTCATATTAAGTGCAAATACTGTTAGGTATCCAAGCTGGGCTAAGGTACGGATATGTGAGGTACCCCTCCTGAAACCGCTGTTTATTCCTCTTCTCCAGGAGGGGTTTGACTGCCGAGTGCAGTCGATTGTAGTGTTTCAGGACAATAACACTGCTCGCCTGATCACTGAGCCGCGCTCCGTAGTCGAACAGTCGATCCAGACGGAGTGAACCCAAGCTCATGGCTACACCGGCTTGAACCTGCAATGAAACAATTTTTTAAAAAATGGAGAAAACACACCGGTTTTGTCCCCCGGAGATGGGGCTACTCCTTTGTATGGGCTAGATAGGTATGTTCCGCTATGAAGGGTATGGATTTTTGAGGGTCTCCATCCGTAAAAAGTGTAACGTATCATTTTTACCATTGTTGGCGTTGAGTTCCCGGTGTGATCCATAGATAGGGTCCCGTTATTATATCTGAATTGGGTCTGATTTTTCAGGCTTGAGGGTATCAGTTTTCGTTTTTTCATCCTAAAATAGGATCAGGGTGTAAGACCCTGGGCGGTACACACCTGTACGAAATTTATGGGAATGCCCCCTCCCGCGATTTTTGTCTCTGGAATAGACCAGTTAACAGTTGTTGGTGGAAGCAACGCTGCACGGGTTGACCTAGTTTTGAGACAATCCTCCATGCTTACGTCAACCAATCTTTTTGTAGCATACATAAAAAGGAAAGAAAGTTCATCGTCAACCTCGTATTCACTCACAGGCTAGGATACCAAGCAGAGGACTGTAAAATGGTCAAGCCGACACAAAAATCCCTGCGTTCCGCGAGAAGCGTGACCTGATCGCCCTTACGTGGTCACCCGTGGTCATTACCTTCGCTCCGGTCCCCTGATTTGTCAAGTTTTAACAGCCAAACACAAAAGGAGCTTGTTGACAAGGCAATTGTAACAAGAGGTAACACAGACGAAAGATGAAAACGCTTTGATTCCATCGATAAATCACAGTCTGTCAAGTATCAATTACTTGATCATCGCTTGGTATACATTCCATAATTAGTTAAAATTTACTTTCTTTACTTACTGCCGACACAAATCCGTTTGGCAGTCGGAAAGCGTTGAATACTTCGGGTGCCACTCGATCGTCGTCGTAAATCTTCGTGGGCATATTCGGCGTGAATGCCCCGTAAGCCGCGATTGGGTAATTAACAGCAGTATGCTGTGCACTTGCAGTCCAGATGAGACGGGTAAAAATATTTACCAACAATACCTTGGAGTTAATTGCGGGTGGGAAACCACGAAGCTGGAAAAAAGACCCCAACAAGAAATTTCTTTTAGCAATTTTCATTAATTATCCGCATATAAGAATCAGCATTTGTCTAAGTTAGCCTAAAATGGTTCTTGCATTTATAGCGTTTTCTGGGAAAGTTTTCTTTAACAGGTTCTCCAGTACTTCCTCAAAGAAAAATACTTTTTTTCTCGAAAAGCTTGTAAGTTTCGAGTGCACAAAGCCTAGAACAAGTTCGTACTTCAGCGGTTGTTAGAGTTCGCTCCTCAGACAATAAAAACTCAAATCCGGAAAAAAAGGCAAATAACAAATTACTGAGTTTATTCGTACCTTTCCCTTGCCGCCATTACTCCCTAGTCCTTGGGCAGACATTTCGTTAGCAAAGCCTTGGATTTCGTAATCCTGTAGTACATCCTTTTCAGCGGTGTAAAAGCTGAATGTAAAAGTCACTTCATTAATACCCGAAATATCTTTAACCTACGATTTCTACGGCAAACCGCGGTCTGTGATTGGTCATGGCCAGAAAGACTGAAAACTTTCAACATTAGACAGATTAAGAGAGGATAACGCGACCACAATTAACAACGGCGCGCAGACCTAAAAACTGACTTGGCCAATAGCAGAGCAGCAAATCGAGCACCGAACTGGTCGTGCTCATTCCTTTCTGCGCGATTTCGCGTTTTCTTTTGATGTTAAGCAGTCTTTGCTGAATCTGCTTATTCTACCGTCACCTGAAGCCAAGAATTTGAATTTTGTTTTGTGTTGACTTCCAGTTTCTTTATACTAGATGCATGGTAGTTGGTTATTTTATTTTCTTGAAATCTGTTTAGTCCAAAAGATACTGCTTAATGGGCACTAAATTCAGTAACATATCTAAAGTAATATCATATTACGTTATCAAATTGCGTTAAATCGTAATCCCAACGTTGCTAAAGTCAACTTGTTCGAATCAGGCCAGGGTAGTGTCAGTAGGATGGTATTTAATCTGTACTCACAAGTTTACTACGTCTTTCATGAGATCCTCAATTGCTTTGTAAATTATCTCCCCGTCGTCTCTGTACGGAAAATATGGCAATTTGTTGCGGTCATCAATCCCACGAGCCTGATAAAACAAGCCGGAAAAGAGCCACACAATAGGAATCGTAACGATGGTGTACACGATTGCACAACATGATAACATGCACGCGTGGAGGTATTATCTACCAAGCTATCGAATGAGGAAATTATTACTGCCCATAACTTGGTGATGATGATGACCATAGGGAAGAAAGATGACGATGATGATGTTGTTGTTGATGATGATGATGATGATGATGATGATGATGATGATGGTGGTGGTGGTGGTGGGGAGGGGGATGATGATGA